GCGTTATATTCCGGGTGAAGTTATGTTGCAATATTAGTGTACAAAGATTGGAGTATGCCTTTTGATTGATGAGATTGTGTCAGCATCAGGTTAGGTTTCAGTCGTCACAACCAAAGAGGTTCGAGCGTAAGCTGTTGGCAGCGTTCCGGATAACTCAAGGTGGTTGATTTACTGAACAAACGTTGGTGAATGATCTTTGCAGGTTTTCCAAAGCTTTCCTGTCACCCATACGCATGTTCCCATAGATGATGCAGCAGTATTCAAGGACAGGAAGTGTAAGTATTTTGAAAAGCCCGAGTCTGGCAGGGGTTGTAAAGATTTTATGGCACATGTTAGCAACAGATCGTTTGGCACGTGCTATTTGATACTCAGCTTGCCCAGAGAAATTAAAGTTTGAAGAGTATCGTATGCCTAGATCACAGTTGGATAGTTTCACACAGATACGTTCATTGCTCACAGTTTAACAGACTCTTCAGGGATTAAACATCCGTGTGACATAATGCATGATTTAGTAGCTGAGAAATTTAGCGTCCATTTGTTGCATCATTTCTCAAGTGCACCGAGGTCTCCTTGAACGAGCAGAATAGCGCTAATGCGTTGGTCTCGTCGAAATTGATAAAGAATCTTTATGTCATCGTCGAACAAAAATGGCCTGCAATGTTTTATGAACACCGTGATATCGTTAATATAAAGTAGGAAAAGGGAAGGACCAAGTACACTCCCTTGGATGACACCAGTAGTGATTGGACGTAGGGAAGAGTTATGATTAACCAGTTACTATCTGGTAACGCCTATATAAGTATGATGTCAACCAACCAAATAGTGGGTCTCTGATTCCAAACGACTTGATACTTTTCAGTAGCCTTTTGATGGGCATTCTGTCGATGCTTTCTGCGTATACAGGAACAGTATTATAACTGCATATTTCGAATCAATGGATTCTGTGATTCAATCCAGGTAGTGCAACTGACACGTGGTACAGGAACGTTTATCGAGGAACCCATGCTGGGACAAAGTCCATGATTCCACTTTTAATTAATTTTTCCAGTAATCTCGACATGACAAGAGTACGATGGATAGGTCGATACTTTTTGACGTGTTGTTTGGGCCCCCCATTATGAAAAGGGACGACAAACGATATTTCCACAATTCCGGAAAGTAGTTAGATTCTAACGAGAAGGTGAACATGTACAGCAAAAGTAGTGGTATGTCAGGCACATTGAGTATAATAACTGATGGGGGATGCCATCGGAGTCTAGTTTGAACGATGGTCTGATGGGCTCCATAGGCAGTTAGATGGTCAAAAGAGAAATCTCGACACTGTATGACACTAATTGTAAGTTCCGGGCAACAAGGTACAGGGTCGGTCTCTACGTTTAAGGAAACAGTGACAGTGTTAAGTTGTACGATGATAGCGCCCGCATTATCGAAATGGGCCACCTGTCCTTAGAAAAGCATTTTAATAATTGCATTATGAAACTACATAGGAAAACGTTCCAACACGGAGTCGACTATGAAATTAGGAAACAATAGGAAAGGAGACAAAACTGATGAGACACGTTTCGTCGGAAAAGTGTAAGGCGGATAACCATTAACCCTGACGCGAACTGGAGCATCCGATTGCGGAGCACGGGAGGCTCCCGTTTAGAATGTGGAAATAATAGAGGGATCAGTCTGATTTCGATTGCCTCTAAATTGCTTGCCTGTCATTCGCCACAGACTGACTGGCACTCGTGAAAGTCAGATACGTGAAGAGCAAGCAGGATTTCGTCGAGGTCCGGGCTGCATCGACCACATCTTCACATTGCGTCAAGTGTTGGAGCACCGCCATGTTTATTGGCGACCCACCGTTGTCGTGTTTCTTGACATAAAAGGTGCCTTCGACTCCGTCGATCGATGTGCATTTTGGGACTGTCTTCTGAGAAAAGGTGTGCCTGATAAATATGTAAACATTATCAAAGCGCTGTACGCACATAGTTCGGGCAGGGTGAGGGTTTATGGCAAACTCTCGCCACCCTTCAGTATCACCAGCGGCGTGAGACAAGGATGCCCGCTGTCACCTTTCCTCTTCAACTTCCCTATTGATGAAGTCATAGAAACAGCGTTCGCTGGACACGACCTAGAAGGTGTGGAGCTACTTCCTGGTGAGCGACTTCCTGACTTGGAGTACGCGGACGATATTGCCCTTATCTGTGACAGCTCCCAAACATGCCAAACAGCACTGGACTGATTAGCACTGGCTGTCAATCGGTTTGGGCTATGCTTTGCTCCATCGAAATGCAAAATACTTCTCCAAGATTGGCAGGGACCCAACCCTGCGCTAACGCTTGGTGGTGATCTGCTAGAAGTCGTTCAGGAATTTAAGTACCTGGGCAGATATATTAGCCCCCGTGGGATTGAAGATGAGGTTAAGAACCGTATAGCAAAAGCTCGAGGTGCTTTTGCCAATCTCCGCCACCTGTGGCGCAAACGCGACATTACTCTCGCCCTGAAGGGCAGAGTTTACAACGTAGCCGTCCGTTCAACTCTCCTATATGGCTGTGAAACCTGGCCCATCAGGTCGACAGACATGAAGAGACTCGTCACATTCGATCATCGCTGCCTTCGCAGCTTAGCTCATGTCTGGTGGGAACACCGCGTGAGCAATGAGTGTGTTCGGCGTCGCGCATTTGGTGCAGGAAGAGCGAGTGAACCGCTCAGCACGATTATATCACGCACCAGGCTCCGATGGCTGGGCCACGTGTTGCGCATGCCAGCACACCGACTCCCACGACGTGCATTGTTTGCGCGTTGTGGGTGCGGTTGGAAGAGGAGGAGGGGAGGCCAAGTGATGACTTGGTCGAGAGAAATGAAAACCCTCACTTCGAAGTTGGCGTCGGTTGGTGCATTCCGACTGCCTGGCTGGGATCCTAAGGACGGTAACCATGTTTGGTTGGACACACTTGCTGATATGGTTTGGAGCCGACCCCAATGGCGTTTGTGTTGCGAGTTCCTTTGTCCATCCCCCTTCTGCTTAGCATCCCCCACCAATCACGATTTCACTTGTTAGGCATAATATGACTCTCTTTTACGGCAGCGGGCTGTTAGCTCTCCGGAACGATGTCCATCCATTACTGGGGACTCAGCGGGCGTGCCACTGTTTGTTTATTCTTTTCTTATCTGTTGTGTTGCGGCACAATAGCCGAGGAGTTTTCCACCTCCAGCTAATGTGTAATGATGATGAGAATATTCACATAACTCGTTGGAATACAGTTCCGATTAAGCAGGTCGAGAATGACGCAGCAATGGATTCCGCCCAAAGCACTCCTGAAACCGAGAACACAGTTATATGCGTATGTGACACTGAGTCGAAATTGGCCGTAGTGACCTATACGGTCCAGTCTAACGAGGGAATATGTTCGATACACTTGAACCCGTGAATCCTATTCCGAAATAAAAGGAGAATAAAGAAAGTGTGGAATAAGTTACCCTCGCTGGTGTCATAGCGGAATCAATGGAATTTGCGCAAACGATGTGATCTAATTAGTAGAAAATATTCACTATGAACAATTCGATTCATTTGACGGCGACAATCAGCTTTTTATATAACTGCTAGAAACGATGATTAAAATAACTACAGAGGACACTACTGTCCCCTTCGAACGAAGACGATGTGAGAAAGACTGGAGCTTCTTAGTGAAACAGTTGTGAAGTACGACCGCGCTTTCAAGCTCAAATTTAGATGGGGCTTCTAAATCAACCTGTAATGCTTTGACTAGCCCGTCAGAGGACGATAAACTGCAGAGTAAGGGGCGACTAAGCTGGAAGTTACTGAAGAGAATGAGGTTGTAAGCACAGTAAATCCACGAAAGTAAAGGTTTGTGCATAGAATAGACGTAAAACCCCAAGTTACCGAGACTAACACCGGGAAGCGACAAACAATTAAGAGAAAACTTGATGAGCGCTACCAGCAAGTAGAGAACCAAATCTTCAGGCAAAGAAGAGGAAATTCGTAGGAGTAAAAGAGTAGACAGCACTGTGTTATACTGAGAGAAGTGAATGTGCAACAGATTTTGTGGGACGGCTTCGTGCTATAGAAACTTTGTGACAATTCCGACTTTTATTCGGTGTAATGATAGCGTAATAAAAATATGAAATGGGGGAAGAAATCAACGGAATATGCCCTTGTGGTAATAAATGTGTCTATCATTTACCTCGTTTCTGGACTGGCTAGAAAAAACTTAATTAGTATACGAGGGCATCGGAGTGATTCGGTTTGTCTCAATAGAGCAAATCACAAGACAACGAAAAGTCGTGTTACTGCTCTGTCACACGCACGGAACCCTGCCCAATTTGCTCATAATTACAGGGTGAAATCAGACAATCGAATTAGTGTAGTAGTTGTTCAGTAGTAGAGTGCAAACGATAAGCATCAACAGTGAGCCGGGATCTTGTACTCACGTTTCGCTGCCACATGACAACCAGCAGTCGCGTGTGGGCCGGGTGTACTGTAAAATCCCCCGCATTTACCCAGGTTCGGATCGACAATCGGCAGATTACAAACAAGGCGACTGAATCCCTCGGTAATCGCTAAGCAGTGGAAAGTGGGTTCGTCTACATCAGAATCCGTTGCGCAACAACAGATTCGGTGATTCACTTGCGCTGGACACGACGTCTGTCACTGCGACGCGTGAATGAGAGCAATTGTTGAATCCAATCCTCATAAGGTACAAGATAGCACCGCACGCACCATTGCAAGGTAACAAACAGCTCTGACTGGAGAACAAAGCACAGAGATAATGCGACGTCAGAAAATAACAGATACGCACTGCAGCAGAAGTGTGTAACTGCTGTACAGAAGTCATCCTGTCGCAATCATCGTCTTGTGGAGTGCGAGTCGAAAACATCCGTCGAAAAAGAACAGCGGGTGGAAAATATAAAGCAAGTAAACTAGGAAAAAGGGAACTGTTTAGCATGTGCAGCCATGGTCGGACAAATGAGAAGAAAATGCAGAAACTCACGGCGATTGGCAGTCAGGTGGGTAGAAAACTGATAATCGTAAACGAAGAGCGCATAGTACAAGAACAACAAAGTTGCAGTTAAGTCAGGATCCGGGGGGCTGGACAAACAATTCAATTCGGCATCGGCAAAAGAGTGGGTAGTTGGAGTGCAAAGCTCAGCAAAGAGGAACTTTTCTTTTGTGGTGAACTGATCCAGTAACTCGGCTTCGGAGATGACGAATGGGAGTTCATTTCGCGAAGTTAGGTTAGATGTACTGAAAGAGTGTGTGACGTGGGCCTCAATCAAATCTGGCAAGAGTGGGTGCACAGGGCGAACACTTGCAGAAAGCTGACCAATTATCCAATCCTAAAAAGACAGATGATTCAGGTGAGTATGCGGTCAAGAATGAGCACTGTAAGGGCAAACAGAACGCAATCCAGCTAGATACGTCAGGTAGCCATGAGAAGACTCAAGTCAATGACCAAAAGTGACAACGAGACAGTGTGTTAGTAAATCGAAGTGAAAAACTTCCGAATCGGCAACAATGATGCAAAAGTAACAGGGAAATCAAGGTACCACCGTTTTGTATCACATGTGTATATCAGAGAACCTAATTAACAAGCAAAGCGAGAGCAAACCGTGCATCGTGATGCGTCCGAGAGAGAAGACATGCAACACATTGGCTGTTAACAACTACGAGTTGAGTTCCACTCCCAGATCAAACTATCCCTATCTGATGAGTGCAAACCAGTAAGGAACGCGTCGTGGAGTGCAGTCATGGGAGATCACAACACCGGAAACCATCCGTGTCGCAATTTAGCTGGGGCGCTAGTGACACTGATGCACAAGAACAAAGTGCCGGAAGGTGAGATTATGACGATGCTACCTGAGCAGACGAACGGATGGGGGGAAATCCGCTTACGCAGAATTCGTAACTAATGACGGTTGCCCGAAACACAATAGTGTACAAATTCTAAAAACAATCAATGAAAAGGTATGAAAGAGGACTGAAATCGTCCACGTAGACAGGACCACAAAGTATGTTAGAGGAAGAGTCTTGCAGCAATCTGATAGAACAACTGGGCAAAGCGCATATTTATTCAAGGTTCTGATAAGTGGTTCCGCAAACCTGTTTGGACAGAAGAAGAGTATGTGCTTTGGTAAAGGAAAGCAGTTGAACCTCAATTGGGCATTCAAAATGCGTTTGGATAGAGTGGTTTTTGTCACGAGTCCCCGCGTCAATATTAATACCCATAGCTGGGAGTATACTCTAGTGTAGAGCTGACCGTGGAAAATTCGCGAGTGAAAACGGCCACCATACACCATAGAGATGTCCATGAGCAGAGAATGACAAAACGTGATATGCTTAATAGACGGGGATGATGAACACAATCGAGATTAGGATCACGAAGCAGGGAAATTTGTGTCACTTCATTCGTGTGTGGGTCCACCAGTGGATCAAATTGGACCAACGATGTGTGTTGGGTGAACGGGCGTTGGCAATTATAGCTTTAGACTGAAGAATGATAAGTGCCTAATCGTTCGGAAGGAAGACCTGGAGCATAAGCAGCAAAATGCGACGTAGGACCCGGTTACTAAACAAACTGGAGGAAAAAGGAAATACCTATCTTAGACAGCCGCAAGGAATCCAAGAAAATCAACCAGATCCTAGTAACGTGATGTGTGCCGTTCAGTTTGAGACGGAATAATCATATCATCAAGACAAAAGCTGGAGCCCTTTGAGTCAAGCAAAGGGCTAACATTCAACAGAGAGAGTAGAAGACAATGCACAGTTATGCTCACTGCAAGTGATGAGTAACAAATCAACAAACAGAAAACCGCATCCGACGCCGTTTAGAGAAGCAACTGATAGTGGTCGAGAGACAAAACGCCGCTAAATACTAGGCTATTTTTATTTTTTACGTAGGGGTACTTTAATACAAAGTGGACATTGGAGTGACATTTTCGACAGTTACACTTCCGATGGCGGGCACAAGACAAGTGTGTTGTAGCAAAAAGGATGAAGAAACAGCAGAAATAATACCAAGATATAATGGATACTAAGTTAACCACAGATGAAGAGAAGCCATGGCCAAAGCCGATTGACTTGCCTTGATATTCAAATGATATTTCGAGAAAGCATGGGACTTGAGCAGCTGAATGATGCACTGGATAGGGAGGTGAGCTGAAAAAGTGCGGTTCAACGCTCGTGTGACTGGAAGTCGGGCAGCTTGACTTGCGATTATCTGAGAATAGAAGCATCGTGCAATTAGAAAAATACGGTTATTCTCATATCACTGACCGACAAGATAAGAAAAAAGTGGAAAACAATGGAATTGAAAAAAGTGTGGTGTGTGCAGTTTCCTCATGCACCGCAGCGGACGAGGGACCTAGACGGAAAGTTCAAAGCACATGAGACGTAAAGCACGAATCCGGATGGTTGGCAGCCAAACGCCACAATGAGTAGCAATCAAAAGACAATTGTAGGAGAGAAAACTGTTGGAATACAAAAAATTCTAGGTAACCACTTGGCAGGTTTCAGATTTCGAGAGCATATCGCAAGTGAATAGCATACAACTATAATTCTTTAATTACTTAAGAATAAATAACGCAATTACGCGTGTGTGACCGAGCAAATTCCAACAGAATAAAGAAGTTTAATGCCTGTCCACTCTCTATTTATGGTGTTCAGTAAGCATGTTCAAGAAATCGACTAGTGAAATAATGAATAATCACAAAACAACCGTTCAGTCAGAAAGTGAAACCGGATGAAAGGATGACGGCTCTTGAAAAAAAAACTAACATATTGATAAATAGTAAGTCCGGTCTTAGATTAAAATAAATCAGTGCGCATTTGATCCAACGTTTTGAGATGATTGGCACGACACCTTGACAATGTGAGATAAATACAAATCGGGGCGCTTTTGGGACGATAACAACTGACGACGCAGTATGCAGTTGAGAGTTCAAAGGTGATGCTTCCATTGGAGGATGTGATTTAGACAACTGACACCAGTGGAAAGAATTGGAGGATAGGCAAATGTTGTTGAGCACGACCATATTCCAGTGAAGTATGACAGCCAATAAAGTTGGTTAAATAGAAAGAATGCGTTTAGGTGGACACCGCTTCCGACAGTAACCCGGAGTGCAGGGACAGGCCACATATCCATCGCACTTTGCAAGCTATGATCATAAATTAGGAATATATTTTAATACCATAATCTCAAGATGGAGTTGACGGGCGAAATCATCGTTTACTCATGCAGAATCTGCTTACAAAATATGATATAACTGCAAAGTAAATGTCCCATACCCTAAAAATTCTACTTTTATCAAACCGCATTACTAACGAATGACGTGGATGAAGTGTCTTCGTCCGTCGGACATCGCATCAGTAGAAGTTAATCAGTTAAATGCATGTTAGTAGGATTCCTTACTTCCGTGAGCAGAGTTAACCGTCACTGTCAGTGAAATGACTTTGCTTAAGGTCCCCATGCGCCCAAAAAACGAGATAGTTTTTAAGAAGTGCGAATAATACTTAACAGGACCGGTTCACTAAGCTTTTGTTAACCACCAAGGAATGACAGTGGCTGTGCGACATCGTGATAGACACTAACGAGGAAATTCAAGGCCACGGTTCGTGGCAAACAGATGAGTAAAATAACAAAAAAGCAAGTAAAGATACGGCGGCACCCAGTTGCGGATTTGCCTGTCACTACAACCTCCAAATGAGGGAACATGGGTGGGGGGGGGGGAACATGGGTGGCTTCAAATACAACATCCACAGTTCCATCTACAAACCCCATATGCGGTGTAGATCCGAAAGATCAGGACCGAGAGGCATGTGGATGGGAGGGAGATTTCATCAAAGGACACGGCACACACTCATTCAACATTTCTTTCTAGCATTGCGGAAAATCATGAGTACCAGACGTACACAAGGCAGTGTCTGGGCCGTAGTACTCTCGTGAATGGAACTGAATGGAAGTACTGAATGAGCTTAGCACGGCCACGAAGACGGTGCAACCCATCCGCCCTGCAACGATGCAGTATCCTAGAGTAAAAAAATGAGGTGGAGGGTGTTAAACAAGTAAAAACATTGGCAGTATTCACATCAAGCGCATTCACAAAATGGATATCAAACAACCAACAAAAAATATGAAGAAAAATAAGCACGCAAAACTGGCACTAAATATGCGGCAGAAGTAAAGAACATAACAATGAAACTATCACAGAACACCTTTTATCCGGAATAGGTAGATCCAGTGAAGTGTAATTCGATGCTGCCAAACAGCAGTAGATAACCAAAATCAACCACAGCACCATATATATATATATATATATATATATATATATATATATATATATATATATATATATCATACAGGAAGAGCCTATGGTGCGTTGAGGTAGGCGGTGGCTACATCCTGACAGACGGTCTACCCACTGCTGCTACTGTTGTGCCATGGGCTCATGTCCTGGACGCCTTCTCGTAGCGACTGCTGGTTGGGAGTTGGGTTACGCCCTTCTCCCTGCTAAGATCCAGGACACCAAACAGCATGAGTCAGTGAAGTGACCATGTGCTAGACCCGCTGCCTTTCGGGTGTACATTTAATCGAAGGCTTTGGCTGAGGACTCGAGTCGTTCTCCTGGCAGTTGTGGGCGCCCTGCCAGTATTCTAGTCCATCCTCTTCGGAGGTTAGGAAGTGGTCGATGGCCCTCTTCCCGTAAAACCTAGCCATGGGAGACAACAGGTCTACGGGTTATAAGCTCACAGCTCGATTGGCGTAGAGCATGATCGCCACAGATTGTCACTGACGGTGGGAGGGCACCTCTGGATGTTCAATGTTTTGCTTCTGCCCGCCTCGAGCCACACAGCCTCGGGTCAAATTGGTGCAAACCCGCCAAAACCTACCTGCGTCTGGCTGTGGTCGCAGGTGCGTATCCCACTACGGTCGTTCCAGTACCTCCAAGGCTGCGTGCGACGGCAGTCAAGCAGATTCCAATCTGTCTCTGCAATCACATTCCAGAGCTGGATGTGCTCCCCACTGCCTTGTGGGTCAAGCTATTGATCCATAGGTTCCGGGTGGAGTCCTTCAAGCAAACCTCCGAAGCACAACCGCCAATCTCGCGTGCGATTGCTAACCGATGCAATCGTACACCTGCGCGCAAAGTACTCACCATCGGGTGCTAGAACGTGCGCACACCACTGGACTGGAACTTCACTGAGCGCCCCGAGCGACGCACCGAACTAGTCGCGATGGAACTGGCTCGCTACAACATCGATATTGCGGCGCTCAGTGAGACTCGGTTTGATGAGCAAGGTACGTTGTATGTAGGAGGTGTTGGCTACACATTCCAATGGGTGGGCAACCCCGCCTCAGCACCACGTGAACACGGGGCAAGATTTGCAATATCCGATCGCCTCCATAGCCAACTGGTGGGTGAACCAACAGGCATCAGCGCGCGACTGATGACTGTTCGCCTACAACTCGAAAGAGGTAAGTTTGCCACGCTTATAAGCACTTACAGCACAACCATGCGTCATCCTGATGACACACGTGATCAATTCTACACTCAGCTATACTCCGTGATACGGTCTGTGCCGAGGAGCGACCGACTATTTATGCTGGATGATTTCAACACGCACGTCGGATGTGATGCATCGGAGTGGAAAGATGTTATCGGTGCGCATGGCATTGGTTCAGCGAATGCGAACGGTGACAGGCTGCCCTCACTGTGGGCCACTCACGGCCTGACGATCACGAACACTCGGTTTGCACTGAGTGCGAGTGATATAGCAAATTGGACGCACCCACGGAGTGGTCACGATCACCTGCTCGACTATGTCATCGTACGTCAGCGTGATATGCGTGAAGTGCGCATGACACGTGTACTGCGTGGAGCAAAGTGTGGCACTGATCACAAATTGGTGCGCACCAAACTGTACATAGATTTTCGTAAATCTATGTATTGCACTCCCGCCGTGAAGCGGCGTAAAGTTAACATTCTCTCCCTCGGTACAGTGGAGAAACGTATTGGGCTGGAGAAGACGATGGCTGCACGACTGTGTGATGTGAAATGCTTAGCCAAAGTGGGTCTCTCCATGGGATCGCCAATATCTCCTGTACTCGCGAAGCTGTATATGGAAGACTTCGAGAACCGGGCGTCAACAAACACCATTAACTCACCAAAAGTTCGGTGGCGTTATGTAGACGACACCTTGTTACTTGTTAAACGGGATAAGAAGGACGAGTTGTTTGCTCACTTAAACTCCATTGATGAGAGAATACAGTTTACTATTGAGTTGGAATCTTGTAGCGGCACAATACCATCTCTTGACTGTCTGGTTCATAGGAGTGGGGGAAATTTAAAGACGACAATAAATCGTAAGCCAACGGATACTGACGGCGTACTTCACTACACTTCGGGTCATCCGAAACAGGTTTACGCTGGGATAGCCTCAGCGCTGTTCTACAGGGCACAAACCTTGTGCATGATGGAGGAGGACCAAAAGGCTGCGCGGAAAGTTGCAATGAGCAAACTATTAGAAAGTGGTTACCCAAGGCGGCTTGTCAAACGGCAATTGCATAAAGTGTTACACCGGCAGTCAAGACCTCCAGCCGAGTGGATAGGGACGGTCGGAATTCCATACAAGGAAGGCAATTCGGAGGGTACTAAACAAGGAAAATATAAGGGTGATCTTTCAGCGAGGTCGAACGTTAGGTTCGGCGCTGGTACACCTGAAGGATCCCCTTCTTAAGGATAGGACGACTAACTGTGTTTATAAAATTAAATATAAGGATTGTGCACATGTGTACTTAGGCCCAAAAGCGAGAGAATTATGCACACGAATTTCGGAGCATAGGAGGCGCATTTCAAGACTACCAAGAAACGAGTTTGAATACCAGGCAATAGTAAGAGACTCGGCCGTAGCTGTGTATGCATTAGACACGGGTCACCAGATAGACCACGAAAACGTAGAGGTCATTAGGAGGGGTATACGATCAACCAATTAGCGGTTGATTGACGAGGCAGTGGAAATTGCCAAATCTGACGACTGCGTGAATAGAATTGAGGGGGTAGAACTGCCTAATGCGTGGCGGGCGGTCTTAAGCCAGCCAGCTTGACGAGCATCGGTGCGTGGATCAGATTGGAAAGTGAAAACCAACTCCCATTGTTAACACTACGGGCTTATCCGTCAATGTCATGACGCACAAAGGAACCCCTGGACTATTCCCACTGT